AAGTCGTCTGTTTTGAAGGAAGATTGATTTGTTACAGAATCACTTTACAAATTCTAACGTTTAACATTTATCACCATGTAATCATTTATTTCTGCAGCTCAGTTTGTTTCTTTTCTCCCAAGTCACAGACATTGTCTACAACACTGAATCATATCAAAAGTCAAAGCAGCCTCATGGCTCCAGGTACAAACTTCTGATGCTGTGCAAACGGGAAGTACAGGAGGAAAAGTACAGAAATAAAGTTACTTCCCTAATTGGCAGGGACCTGTAGCAGGACATGCTGGGACGCAAGGTTAAATGGTAGAAAGGGTGCATCTCAGGGAAGATCTTTATCATAAAAAATGTGCTTCCTTTCAGTCTGTGTTCTCAGAGCTAAACTAGGCAGCCCTGGCTCCAAGAAACGTGTTTTCTTAAAAGGCAAAAGCAAATATATTACAAAGTACATAGTGCCTCCGACAGGCAAGCTAAGAGGAAATCCTGACTGGTGCTGGATTGATGCGCACACAGCAATCCACCAATAGCATCACAACAAACATTTGGCTGTCTCCACAGTCTGGTTCCTTTTCTCAGAATATCAATTTTCTAACTTAAAATTTGAGCAACAGCATTATATGGGTGTTCTGAGGAGGAAATAAAATAACATATTGGACAGAAGAAGCTGAAAAAGACTGTTACATAACAGAGTAGTGACAACCATCCCTCCCCCCTTCTTTTTGGTCTTACGGAAGAGAACTGAAGGCCGGAGTATTGTCACAGTTAGCCAGTGACAGGGGAGGAGGCTGCAGACGTTTCGGCTTGTCAGGCTCTGTGTGCAAGCATCAGCCCAGGCGGTCCTAGAAAAATGTTATTTGCTGAAAAATCTTTGGTGGCTCTTTCAGAGAACACGGGCATTCCGCATAATATTGCTTCTAGGGGGAAAAAAACCTAACTGTAAGCAGTGTTCCCAAAGAAGGAGGTGCTACAAGTTCCAGTTCCCACGTCCTTCCCTCGGCCAAATACGTGACTTGCAGTGCCTAGAGAAGCGAGGTTCCCACAGGAATCCCTCCTTCCAGACCCACAACAGAGCAGCTAAGGCACCACAACGTATCATCTTTTTCTTCTAAAACATTTGTTAACTGTAAAACATGACAGGGATAAAACCTAACGACAGCAATTTACAGATTGCCAAAAATATTCAACTGTCATAATTTTACATGAAGTAATAAATAATATCTGATTGATGTCATGCTTTGTCTTTTGCTTGTTTGCTAAAGTATTCATCACACATAAAATGTGTATTTTGTGACTTTATTTACAATCTGTATAATTGGAAGTGACATACTTCACTTTTGACAAACACAGGATCATAACTTTTTTAATGGATATCTCTGCTCTTATAACTGTTATTGGAGAGCTTTTCATAGGTTATAATAGCTATGGGAAATTGTTCCAAAGCATAAATGGGATATCTAGAGCTTGTGACTTTCACAGAATACAGTTTCTGAGAAGTTTTAACTCTTCATACAGTTACATAGAAATCAGAGATTAACTGAAACGTGAGATTATACCCTAATATGTGAGGGTTTCCTCTGGCATTCCCTAAGGTTTGTGGGGCTCACTAAACACTGTCACCCCATGGTCTGTAATTCACTCACAACATCCACTCATAGTACCATCCTTTGAAGAAAAGTTTTGTAGTTTTCGGTACACAAGGCTGCACATTCCTCTCTTAAATGTATTTTTAAGTGTTATTTTTCTCTATTCAGATACTATTTTAAGTGGAATTGTTTTCACTGCAAACATCGATATGCAAGTATTTTGGGGTACTGACGTTGTATCCTGCACCGGTTTAACATCTTAACCGTTTCTGAGTGCTGTGCAGTTCTCTGCTGGAGGACAGAGCATCTACAGCTAGAGACACATCTCTCTCCTCCCCTCCTGATTTGGTGCCTTGGCCCTCTCTTGTCCTTGCCTCACTGCTCTGGCAGGGTCTTCCATTGCAATGCCATATGAAGGGCTGAATGCTGCCCAGGCTCCCAGCATCCTAGGGCTGGTTTGCTCGTCCTGTTTCCCAACCTGGCTTCCCGCATGGATTCCCATTTCTCACACTTAGGGATCAGAACAAATAGATTCTTGTGAATTTTAAACTCATTTGCTAACATATAAAAAGTGCTCCATCTTCACGTGAATTTACAGTAACACTTGATTGACATCATGGAAGATAAGCATAAAGTGACATTTCAAAAATTGGAAAAATGAAACTGTAGATACTTGATACTGTAGAGACTTGACAATTGAGATTGGAGTATACATGAAGATCACTGGGCTGGTACAATAGCATGGCAAGTTATACCTTTACCCACAATGCTGGCACCCAGCACAGACACTGGTTCCAGTCCAGGAGGCTCCACTTCGGATCCAGCTCCCTGCTGATGGCCTGGAAAAGCAGAGGAGGATGGTCCAAATGTTTGGAGCCCTGCCACCCTCATGGGAAACCTAGATGACACTGCAGTATCCCTAGCAGCTCAGCTGTCTAAGGCCTGAGCCAGAGGCCGGCTGGACAGATGGACATGCCCTCTCTCTTTCCTGTGCTTTCTCCCCCTGCATCTCTGACTATCAAACAAATAAATATTTAAAAAATAAGACTCACACTCACCAACAGCAAAGGATTAAACTGAGATGTTTTGGCACTGCATTAAAATATAGCATACATACAAAAAATACAAGTGTGTATGCAGAGAACTGACGTTTGGGGATCCTCTGATCACATTCATAATCAACGCCTGAATTAAGGACAAGGAATCACCAGGACCAAAAGTCTTCACTACCCCCTCCCCCATTTCCTCATGGAGCTCTTTGTGGTCATCTCTGAGGAGTATTTGTATTCTTTTCATTTTCTTTTTTAAAAAATGTGTATTTATTTGAAAGGCAGTGTTACTGAGAGAAAGAGAGAGAACTTTCATCTGCTGATTCACTCTCTAAATGGCTGCAACTGCTAGAGCTGAGCTGATCACAAGCCAGGAGCCAGGAGCTTCTTCCAGGTCTCCCACATGGGTGCAGGGGCCCATATCTGCTGTTTTTTTCCCAGACTATAAGCAGGAAGCTGGATCAGAAGTGGAGCAAACAGTATATGAATTGGCTCCAATATGGGATGCCAGTGTTTGCAGGTAGAGGACCCACTTGCTATACCACCACATTGGCCCCTTCGAATTATTTTTCAATTACTCAATCAATTTTCCTTCTTTATCATTCAATATTAATTAATTAAGAAATTAAGTAGATAGAATAGTGGTGTATTTTAAAGTTAAAAGGCATGTAAATACAATGTTTTATTAAAGACATCATGAACACTGAGTATGTGAAAGATACCATGTTGATAGAGATCGCTCGGTGTCTGCTTTATGAATCTGAAGTCCAAGGTTCGTGAACATAAAGGGAAAGAGAATAAATGAGAAAAAGAACTGTTCAGCGAAGGTGCATGCCTGAAATGAGAAAGCCCCGAATGGCTTCTATCACAACTGGGCCACCAGCTACTTTCTGCATGAAGGCAGCAGGAATGCATTGAAAAGGCATTTAAATGAAGGGTTAAGGTTCTACTATTACAGTACTCTGTACTCCCTTCCAGCATGCTACCTCATGAACACAGCTGGAAGCCTTGAAACCAGGTCTGTGGGCCCGATTTGATCCCTTCTTCCCCACAAGGGTCCTGTGAAAACCGAGCTACCAGTCCACCTGCGGCAGTCCAGGCCACTGGGTGTGACTCAGGGCCCTCGTGGACTGTGGATGTCTGTCTCCACACACAGCCTTCCTTATTGTGTAGTGGAAATCCCTAAACTAGAGAGCCACACGTGTGCATCACAGTGCTGTCTTCAAAGCCAATGGGTAAAATCCAAGCCCAAGATTAAACATTTTATCCTGGGCTGGTCTTCAGTGTCTGAAAAGTGGGCAAGAAGAACAACTCTCCTTATGAGTCTGACTTCTGGCCTTTCACTTCTGGGATTTCAGGGAGTACCTGTTCCCAGCGCATGTGACCAAGCCTAAATTACATGGTCATCATGCCAGAATAATTGTCTTTTCAAGAGCCTTTGTACGAGTATGCAGCCCTGTGAGTGATGAGAGATGGGTTACAATTAGACAATTCCAATCCTTCAACAACTGTGAAGCGTCACTCAGCCCCGCACACCAGAAGGTACAGGTACTGTCGGCACTGCGCCCCTGCTTCTTCCTAACAAGGACCTTACCAGCAAACCCTTGAGCATCACTTGTCAGACGGCACTGTCGGTGCAGGTGTATGTGCAGAAGCCTTCAGCTCGAACGTACCATATGCTTCTCTACCCCGTAAGATCCTGTTTTCATCACGGATGAGCAAGTAATAAAAATCTTTGAACTTCATTTTTCCCCTTAATGACTTATCTATTTGAAAAGCAGAGAGAGAACTTTCACCAACTAATTCACTCCTCAAAAGGCCCAAAGGTAATCAGGCTAGGGCAGACCCATGCTAGAAGCCTGGAACTCCATCGGTCTCTCACGTGACGGCAGGGGCCCAAACACCTGGACCATCCACTGCCTTCCCAGGTATGTTAGCAGGAAACAGAAGTGGAAGTGGAGCATCTGGGATTCACAACTGGCACCCTGATATGGGATGTCAGTGTCACGGGCTGTGGTTTGAATCTCTGCCACACACTCTGAGCTTCGATGCTTTAGCGATAATATAGACATGGGTCAGTTGTAAGGGGTAACTTGGAGCAAGCATGCAAAGTCCTTGGAGTATACACGAAGTGTTTATTGTTAAGTGCAGGGCAGTTACAGGCATCATGGTATTGAAGGTAAGTCAATCCAAATAATAACAATTCTGGTTTTGTAAATTACCAGCCATTTAAAACATTTGCTGAGCCCCTTTTTCTTCTCTGTCAGATTTGTAACACCCTGTAGGTTGCTGGAAACAAGGAGAAAACCGTGGGCTTTGGGGGTTGGGTGGATTCTTCCCTTGCTTTCTCCCATCTTAGGTGCTCTGAGGTGATCCCTCGGGGCGCTCTTGAGAGAGCCACTCAGCCAGGAGCCTGGGAGGACTGCCAGGCAAAGACAGTCAAGATGAGGATGAGGCACGCCCCACCATGGCCGCACATCCTGGGCTTATCTCCTTCCTCATCTGGATAAAAGGGGTCAGCTCCTGCCAGAGTCTGTCTCTCCGTTATTCTTCAACTTCCCAAGGTTTGGCTCTGGGATATAAAATAATATGACGTTCCGACAGTTTAAGAAGCGTGCCTGGAAAAGTAAGCAGAGCAGGAAGGAGAGGAAGAGCATTGGGAGGGTGCAGATGGGTTTTGCAGCTGGGTGGAGGCGCATTAGCATCAGATACAGGAAGACGTCGTTGACTGCGGCGCCCAAGTTTCCCTCCGCAGGAAGGTCACCAGCTCTTCAGTGTGAATGAGATCCTGCTGAAGGTATGATGCTGCCTCTGCAGGTTTGCATTCCTCCATCGGGAAAGGTTTCCAACTTGGCAGCTTCTCCCCTCCGCTAATCTAATCCAACTCTCCTTGCAAAATGTCACTCTGCTTCAATTTTCCTAGCCTGCCCCTCCTCAGGCACCTGGGATTTCCGGATCAAAGCTGTGGATCTGAGGGAACTCAGAAAGGGTGGGCGTGGGAGAAGGAATTCATTACTGTGGATGCCCAAGTGGGTTCATTTCAAAGAAATGTCACGCAGCGTCTTTCTTCCTGCTTCCTTCGGCTTGTTCTTTGCTTCTACAAAGTCGGGGAAGTCTATCTCTACAGGCTTAGCCAGATAGTCAACTTACCTCCAGATCCTGGCTGGAACACGGTGAGGGCAAGACAGACACGGGAGCACACAGCGGAGAAGGGCTGCATGGCCAGCGCATCCTCCCTGGAGAAAGGATCTGAAAGTTAAATGTGGAAGAATTAGCCCATCTCCGGCTTCCACGCTGTGCCAAGCTCTGAATTATTATCCAGACATGACAAGTCTGATCAATTGCTTAAAAACAGAGAGGAAAGGAGTGAAGAAATGATCAAAAAGAGCTGATCTTACGTCTCATTTTCTTTTTCCTCATAAAATTGTCATATAATTAGGATCATACGGGATAGTATTCTAAGGGCAGGACCTTCATTTGAAACGCAGGGGTGGGTCTTCGGCACGACAGTTAGCTGCCTCTTGCAGCACTGCTGTGCATATCAGAGAGAATGGTTCTAGTCCCAGCAACGCTCTTTTGCAATCATGCCTCTTGGGAGCAGGGGGAGCAGCGGGTGACAGCCCAAGCACTTGACTTAGTGCCACCTGTGTGGGAGACCTGTGCTGAGTGCATATAGTTCTAGCTTCGCCTGGCCTAGTCCCAGCTCTTGACCTGAGGGCCTTTAGAGACGGAGCAGCGGTTACAACACCTCTGTTCTATCCCTCCTCTTTTTCTCTCTTCACCACCCTTCACTGACTCTCATTTTTTTAAGTGTAATATAATCAGGTCCATCTTGTTGTTTTTTGTGGACTTGGGGGTGATTGGGAAACTACATAAAATCTACCTTCAAACAACAACTAAGTATAGCAACTGCATGTTTGGAAGGAAATGCTTAATGTTATGCCATTTATTATTTATTTAACCCCGAGTATCAGGGTTTGATCTATGGCTCTATCTCCCAACTCCAGCTGCCTGCTGGCACAGATACTGGGACGCAGCAATGATGATGTCAAGCAATGCAGTTCCTGATATGCAGGTGACTGAATTGGGTGGAATTCTTGATACCCAGTTTTGGTCCCAGCCAGGCCCAGGAACTGTACAGTGTTTTGGAAATGAATGAGTGGATGGGCAGAGGACTTCGTGTGTGTGTGGGTAGGGAGGGGGGATATGTGCAGGTATGCTCATTTTTTTTTCTCCTAGGTAATTTTTTAAATGAGAAAATCTCATAGTTTGGTGATTATATTTATACTAAAGAATCTGTCTTGGCCATTTCTGTGCTGGCCTAAAAAATACTTGAGATTTGGGAATTTCTTTTTTGTTGTTGTTGTTACATTTTATTATTATTATTATTATTTTATGATACAGTTCCAAATTCCCTTATCCCCTCCCCAATTCCCTCCCCCCTCACCTAGTTCCTCTATATCATTACTAACATATAGTTCTGCATACTCAGTCATATGTCCATCATTGCGGGCATGGACAGTGGCAGAGAGTCCAGAATCCTATTGTCAAGATACAGTAAACAGTTTTATGTAAGTCCATCTCTGTCTGGAAGCAGAAATGCAAACTACACTGCATCCTCACATCTGGATGTTAGTCTCCATCTCACAGCTACTGTACATCCCTCAAATGAAAAGTCATGATACAAAATCAACAATAAAAAGTAAGATATAAATTTACAATGCCATGAAGTTGAATGACATGTTGCTAGATATGACAGTCCCCATTACACAGTTACTATACATCCCCTTAAATGAAGAGCCACAAAACAAAATCAACATTAACAACACCAAGAAGTTAAATAACATGCTATTAAGTGACTAACGTGTAGCTGAAGAAATGAAAATCAAGAACTTTCTTGAAGAAAATAATACCACTGCATAATCTACGAGTCATTGAATGATTAAATCAGAAGAAAGTGTTTTGAAAAGATGAAACCAACAGAAAACAACAAAACCCATGTGATATAGATTCCGCTGATCTTTGTTGAGGTGTGTCTCCTCCAGACAACAAGCAGATGGGTTTTGTTTTTAATCCAGTCTACTAATCTTTGACGTTTGATTGAGCTTAAGCCATTTACATTCAGAGTTTAATATGTATGGATGGTACTTTGGTCCTGTCATTTTAGGAATGGGTTGTTCTTTGGTTTAGTCTTCATGGTGATTTTACTGGGATGTTCTTCCCATTTGCCTTTGGTTTTGGTAGGTGCTATTCCTCTTCTCTGTCAAGAGAACATCTTGAAGTATCATTTGTAGGGCAGGTTTGCAAGAGGCAAATTCTTTTAACTTTTCTTCACTGTGGAAGAATTTCATTTTCAAAGACAAAATACTTGAAACTTAGGAATTTCTAAAAATAAATAAGTAGATAAAAATCTAGGACCCAGTACAATGGCTCAATTGCTAAATCCTCACCTTGCACACACCAAGATACCAAACGGGTGCCAGTTTATGTCCTGACTGCTCCACTTCCCATCCAGCTCCCTGCTTGTGGCCTGGCCTGGGGAACCTGTACCCACACAGAAGACCTGGAAAATGCTCCTTGAGCCTAGCTTTGGATTGGCTCAGCTCAGGCCATTGCAGCCATATGAAGAATGAACTAGTGGTTGGAAGAACTTCCTCCCTGTCTTTCCCTCTGTCCCTAAATCTGATCTACCTTTGTAATAAAATAAATAAATATCTGCTCTGCTCAATTGTGAGGGTTACATCAAGCTGCTGGGAGATGTCAAGTATGGTCACAGCTGATCTTTGCTGCATGGTGCCACTTGCTGTGTCCTCATGAGACAGAGGACCTGAACAGACAGAAAGGCTGTCTGTTCCCTTCAGCTCTTTCACAAGGACACTCATCCCATTACTGGCTTCACCATTTCCTCTGGCCTTACCTCTTTATACCACTACACTGAGCCATGAATGCCAACATACAGCTCTGGGGTACACATACACCCACACAACTGCAGCCCCTGAAGAATCCAGCCATGCAAGAAGGGTTGTACGTAAGGAGTTTAAGAAATAGGAGAGTCATGGATACGAGGAAGGAAACCAGTATTCACTGCATGTGAGCAAAAGTGTCAGAACTCACGCAAACAGCCAAAATGATACAACACTGAACTTCACTGATTATCTGAGCAGCCAACGCAGTGCTCTGTTTAGCTCTCTTATCCTGACCATTTCTGCCCAACTTCCTCCTGCTCACCACCTTAGGGTGGCTCATTAACCCTGACATAAATCTTCAAATGACATGTTAACAGGGGAAATGTTGAGAGGGGGGACTATGGGAGCTCTTAGTATTATTCCCTCACAACTTTTGCTTGACAAATTTAAAACTTTCCTGAAATGAAACACGTGACAACCAGATTCAAAAGATAAAGAACGGAGAAAGTAGGTGAGAGTGTTCCTATATCCTTGGGTTGTGGTACACTTCATGCGTTTAAGTGAGTGTGCAGGGATGCATTGTGGTAAGCATTGGGCGAGCCTCAAAGGAATGACAAAACACGCCCTCATACAGCCAACACACTTGGGATGTGTGAGGGGAATGATTTTTAAAACATTTAATTAATCCTACAGAAGGAAAAAAAAAAAAAGACCTAAGAAAAAAACATAGGAAGTATAAGGTACTATGATGGGAGCCCTACCTAAATGCATCAAGAATGATGTTAAATACACACATACCACATAAAAGACAACTGTCATGAGACTGTAGTTGAAATAAAGCATACACTTCTTGCAAGAAACATAGCTATGCTGAAACAATGCTAACATGCTAGCAGTAGAGGGTTTATGGGCGAGGCGAGTTGTATAAGTCCCTATTCCAGGCCCTTGCCTCATAGTTAGCGAAGCATTCTAAGTACAGGCACAGATATGACTGACAAAATGATAAAGTCTATTTAAAAGATGAGAATAGCAGAGACACAGGGGCCTTGTTCAGGAATAGAGTGGGCTGAGAAGGAGAAAAAGAGGTGTATGTTCTTGGGAACAGCACTCCTCCCTGGTGTGGTCCTCTTTGTGGTTGGAAAGTGGAGTGGTTACTCGGTATTGTCCCCAGGTCAGTGGAGGTCCACCCTGGGGAGGGCACCATTTGATTGACAGGTGGGAAGATGGGATTACATGAGGTAGGGGAGGTGTGGCTTCCAGTCAGTAATCCTAATATAGCTATCTGTCTTATTATCCCATATCAGAAGTATAAGAACACTATACCCACAGTGGCTGAACTCAAGTTGATATTAAAGTGAGCTTAAGATGAGAAGAACTATCAGAGATATGATAATAACTACCAGTAAGATATAATTCCAAATCATCCTTAAAAATGACAAACTATATGAAGAAATGTTAAAAGTAGGAGAAAAAAAATCAAGAGCCACAAAGGAAAGTTTAATAGATTCCTCTCAAATATGCCAGAACAAGCAACAACTGATCATATGAAATGTGCATAGAAAATTTCAGGAAAATGATTTTGAAATAATCATTGAATAAGGGTTTGCCCTGACAACTAAGATGCCAGTTTAGATAGCTACATGCCATAGTTGAGAATCTAGTTAAATTCTCCAACTTCTTACTATGCTTGCTCCAATGTTCCAGTAGTTGAGGTTGTGACGTCCACATGGGAGTCTTGAACTGAGTTTCCATCTCCTTCCATCCTGGCCCAGTTCTGCCCATCGTGGACATGTGGAAAGTGACCCAGTGGACTGGAGCTCTCTGTGCTCTTTTGCTGTGTGGACCACCATTGTAGCACAGAAGCTAAAATCACAGCCCGTGATATTGGCGTCCCATCTGAGCACTGGTTCTTACCACAGCTGCTCTACTTCTTATCCAACTCCCTGCTAATCGACCTAGAAAGCAGCAGAAAGATGACCCAAGTCCTTGAGCCCCTGTCACCAGCGTGGGAGACTCAGCTAGATATCCAGGATCCTAAGTTCTGCCTTGCCCAACCCTAGCTGTTGCAGTCATTTGGGGAGTGAATCAGTGGATGGGAGATCTCTCCTCTCTGTGTTTCTCCTTCTTTCTTTATCTTTCAAAGAAGTCAAAACTTCTTTAAAATAAAAATCATATATAATATGCTATCCACATGGGGGAATAAATTAGAAATAGCAACATAATAATGAAAACCTTCTAAAATTTGCCAATGATTCAAGACACAAATAATGCATGTGTCAACATGGGAATCCTAACGGAAGTTAGAAAGAAGCCATTTTCCATTGACTCATAATAAATATGTAATGTGTTAATAATTCTAAAGTACAGGTAAAACATTACTGGAAAAATTTAAAGGTATATTCAGTGATTTGTTTGAAATTAAGAGTGACAGGAAGAGCAGGAGAGGCCGAGACAGCTCTTCCAACTGCCGGTTCATCCCCCAAATGTTGCAATGGCCAGGCTGGGCCTCACTAGAGTCAGGATCCAGATGTCCTTTGTGGGTTGAAGGGCCAAGGACTGGGGCCACCTGCTGCTGCTTTCTAAGGCACAGTCGCCGAGATCTGGGCAGAAGAAGAGCAGACATGACCTCAACCAGTTCTCTATTATGGAATGCCAGTGCTGCAAGCAGCAGCTTCAACGTCCATGCAGCAACATCTGCCATGTTAATAGAAACTTACAGTGAAACTAAACATAAACTAGAATATAATATGTAGAAATAATTATAAGTGTATATAAATAATTACATATAGAAATAATTATAATAAATTAAAATATTAATAAAAATATAAATGCTAGTAATACTGATAGAATAAGAGGAAGGGAAAGAAATGTACAGCTGATATCAGAAACAGCAATCATACAGAGTTTTGAAATCCTCCAAAATTCTGTAAATAATGAATTGATACATTGCAAAATATTCATATAGAAGATTATTCCACAACAATGAAAATCGCATGACTTCTGCTATATGCTTCAACATAGAAACTGCCAGAATAATACTGAGAAGAAGTAGACAGGAATATTACGAAATTTAAAATTAGATGAAGACAGAGAATACTCCTCTGCGCTAATGGGGAATAAGAGCGACGGCTACCTTGGAAGGGAACAGGTCAGCAGAAGAAAGGGAAGATGAGGAGACACCTAAGACCTGGGGCTTAGGACATGTCCTCCTCTAGCTGGTAGCTACGAGGGAGTGTTTATTGTTGACATGTTGTTAACCTAGAAACCGTGATTTACACATTTGTCTGAATATAAGTTGGTGCTTAAAATTATGGTCAACATGCAGTAGATGTTGAACCACAGCAAAAGAGTGCTGTGGTTCAAAGGAAGAAAGTTGGTGAGAGATGTATTGTTCATTTGGAATTTGAAATCTTAAGGAAGATTTGTAGAGGAGTGAAAAAAGTACAGGATATGCAAGTGTTTGAGGATTCTGGGACTGTAGTGCACGTGTAGACATGCATAGGTCAAACAGATTCCCAAACCAAATCTTGTCTTTACCATTCAAAGCTTAGGAATTTAGGAGAAGTCACTGAACTTGAATGAATTTTCATTTTCCTTCTCTATGAAAAGCGCATCACGGAAGCGGCAGATGTTGCAGTGCTACAGGTTAAACCATCTGTCTGAACACCCACATCCCGTGTCAGAGTGATTGGTTTGAATCCTGACTATTCCAGCTGCAATTCAGCTTGCTTCTAATTCACCTCAGAGGCACCAAAGAATAATTCAAGTGTATGAGAACTGAATGGAAATCCTGACTTCTTGTTTCAGCTTGGCATAGCTCCAGTTGTTGCAGGCGCTTTGGGAGTAAACTCACACACACATTCTCTCTCTTTCCTTTTCAGCTAAATTACTAAATCTTTGAAAAAAAAAGTAGGTAATGAGATCTGCTTCATAAATTTGTTTAAAAGAATTACAGAAGCATAATACATGCTTAAAATCACTGGTATATTATTTTACAGCAATAGCTTTTCAAGACAATGACTGAAAACTCATTTCATCCACTTTTTTTTCTGATTGGTCTTATATTTATGTAATCATCCATAGAATTCTCAAAAACCAAGCCAAATAGAAAGGGAATAGGGATGAGTAATATCCTTTGGTGATTTTGTAAAGTTTGGCATCAGCAAGTTCATGTCCATGAAATTAGATGAAGAGCAGAGGGTGTGTAAGTATGGAGAAGCATCACCCTGAAGTGTCCGAGTTTAAAACCACTCTCTCAGGAGTGCCGCCTCTCAACATATTTCTCTGGATATCTTTCTCAATAAAAATAACTTCTTTTAACTGCAATTTCAGGCACTGTTCCAAAAATTTGAAAATAATTTCCAGATTGATTTGGTGTCTACTTTTTAAAAAGACTTGCTTTATTTTTATTGTAAAATCAGATATACAGAGAGGAGGAGAAACAGAGAGGAAGATCTTTGTCTGTTAACCTGGACCCTCTTCTGGGTCTCTCCCACATGAGTGCAGGGTCCCAAGGCTTTGGGCCATCCTCAGCTGCTTTCCCAGGCCACAAGCAGGGAGCTGGATGGGAAGCTGGGCTGCTGGTATCAGAATCAGTGTCCATCTCGGATCCCAGTGCATGCAAAGCGAAGACTTTAGCCACTTAGTCTACTGTGCCAGGTCCTGGTGTCTACTTTAGGTTGTATTCAAGAAAAGCACAATTAAGTCTTTTGATTTGTACCTTCTAAAATGTCTTGTTTGGTTGTGTTCTGCAGCATCCACGCAGAAAAATATTTGTGGTGGCACAAAGTGAGTCTCCTAAGAATACCCCGACTCTTGTGTAAACAGTTATTTTTCTCATGGGGTTCCTTAAATGGAAACTACTTTAAATCTGAAACTTATTATTTAAAGAAAACATGGTGACATCGATTGTTTTATTCTTTTTTCTGTTAAGACTTAAATTTGTGCAGCCTATTGAGTTCAAGAAACCTGTTAGTTTCCAAAGCTTTATCACATAAGGAAAACTAGACTAATTACTTTCCCAAACATGGTGGTTTCCCCTAGTGGTTACCTGTGGAAGAAGAGGATTAGAATTTACTACTCTTATGCCAGTTGAGAGCTACCATAATGTAACCATGTCAATGATTTATTCAAGATTGATTTGTGTATTTGAAAGGTAAAGTTACTAAGAAATACACCTACCATCACAGTTCACTCCCCCAGAAGGCAGCAATGCCCAGTGCTGAGCCAAGCCAAAGGCAGAATCCAGGAGCATCCTGGGACCAGGGGCAGAAAACCTGAGCCACCCTCCGCTGCATTCCCAGGTGCACTAACAAGGAGGTGAATTGTAAGCGGAGCAGCTAGAATCTCAAACAGGTGTTTATATAGAATGCTGGCATTGCAGGAGCACCTTAATCTACTGCACCACAACACTGGCTTTCAAGCACAGGCATCCCATATGAACACCAGTTCATGTTCCAGTGCCTGCTTCCCATTCAGTTCCCTGCTTACAGCCTGAGAAAGCAGCAGGGGATGGTGCAAAGCCTTGGAACGCAGTACCCACGGGGGAGACCAGAAAGAAGCTCTTGGCTCCTGGCTTTTCTTCTGCTCAGCTCCAGCTGTTGTGGCCATTTGGAGAATGAACCAGTTGGTGGAAGATCTTTCAATCTGTCTCTCCTTCTCTCTGTAAATCTGCCTTCTCAATAGAAACAAATAAATCCTTAAAATAAAAAACAAGTAACTCTCACAGCAGAGAGAGTGAATCTCTCCGAGTGAAAAATAAACAAAATTAAATTTTACAACTCAAAATTGCATAAAATAAAATTAACAAAAACAAATAAAGTGGATTTAATGATAGATTATATGTAAGAGAAAAATATGACTCAGGGAATTTCCAAATAAAAATATGAAGTATTCCATCAGAAGATGAGAGAGGAAGTTTTTGATAGAATTATTAATTGATCACAAGAACCCATGGAATAAAATCTATATTCTAATAACATATGAGGGGAGTTTAGAAAGTGTTGGCAACACCCGCATCGCCACGTACTTCAAGCCCCGGGTCGAGCGGAGGGACTAGGGTTATGAGACAGACAAGACAGACAACACACACAACACACAGAGGCTCATTCTTGTGAAGTGAAGCCCTTTATTCAAAGTCGAACTCTCTTCTATAGTCTGCTTGGCCCCTCCCAGGATCTTCCCAATGGTTAAGCAACACCTAAGCTCCCCCAAGGACATGCAAAAATGGGAAGCAGGAAGGAGGGAAATTGCAGTCAAGCCATGGGCTAAATGTATCAGGCCATGATTGCCCTTCCTGTTACACCTTTGAGAAACAGCTGAGCTGTGGAGTTAACCCTTGGGAGACCGGGGCCTACAGAAAGTTCATGAAAAATAGAATTAAAAGATGTTTGATTTGATATAAAATATTTTAAAATCTTACATAGCTTTCTAATAATGCTTAATTCCTGTTAATTTTTGTAGAACCATCATAAGCATGGATTTCGATTACTTTTAAGTTTATCTTACAGTTCATCCCACCACCTTTTTAAAATGCTCTCATGCATGCAAGAGATAAAAAAGCAGAAAAGAGTGAAACTCTGGAAGCAAAAACATCTTTTTGAAAGAAATAATGAAACAGTTTCAAACCTGATGAAACATACTCTTGAACAAATCCAAGACTCACAGATAATCAAGCACATCACACATAAAGAAAAGCAGACAATGGCTCAGCAACAGGCAGAATCTGAACACAAGCACAGAAAAGAAGTTGGACTCAGTGTGAGAAAATAAAACCATCAAGTTTCCATGAAAAATAATGATATCAGAAGACAACGTAGGAACATCTGTAAAGGATTAATAACAAGGCAAACAAGGACAACCCCAAATCTGACAAACAATGAAAATATCCTTCTATTAAAAAGAACAAGATGAATTAATTCTCACCTTCAGGAAAGCTCAAAGAATTTGTCTATATAATGTTTGCATCAAGAAAATGTCAACATATACTTCTCATAGAAGGCAGGCAAGACAGCAGGAAACAAGGGATTCCAGGGAAACAAAAAGCACCAGAAAAGAGTCACGTTGCTGGGAGCCTGAAGCCCCGGCGATAGGAAGAAAAGAACAAACAGTTCAGTTAAGAGACTAACATGAAGTTCATTGCCCACTGGCTGATTAACTGACTAAAGGCACCTCAAGGTTCAAGTCCCAGTGATTGTGAGCACCCAGTACCTACAAAGTCTGTCTCTCGTTAACTTTATAATTCAGAATTTCTAATGTCACTAAGAAACACACTTAAGAGTGATATATCTTCTGACAGAATAGCTAGCCCAAATCAATTTACTTCTTTAGACAATTTATAGGTTCCAAAAATATAATATCTTGTAGGCCAGTTACAGTTTCAGGAGAATAAAATCAAGCAAACTTTCTTGCCTATCTCAAGTAAAGAACAATGCATCTACCATGAAACAGACACACACACACACACACAAAAGTGCATCAGACCAAGGACAGCTTTGAAAAACTACAATTAATACATGGAGTTATTTCACAGCAATGAGAAGGAAACCTATTATCAAGCCCCGATTTAAAAAAAAAGAAAAAAGATATGCTGTCAAAGCAAACTGCAAAATAATACATTAAGTTGCTAATTAGGATACAAGGTGGAAGGTTACATGGTTTTTGGAAGTGGGCATTTCACCTACCAGTTAAAATGCCAGTGGAGACATCCTCTTCTCAGACTGCCTGAGTTCTAGTCCCAGCTTGGATTCCAGTTTTGTGCCAGTGTGCTCCTGGGAGGCAGCAGGGATGGTCCTTAGAACTGGTTCTCTGCAACCCACGTGGGAGGCTGGACCCAGCCCTGTCCATTGCTGGTATTCAAATCTGAACCAGCAGTTTAGGAGTTGCCGCTATCTTTCTGCCTCTCAAATTATAAACATTAACTATTAAAGCAGTTAAGGACTAGACATGGGTTTTGGTGGCGACTATGATCTTTGATCACATGCTTTCCTCATGACTTTTTCACTCTCTTTTGGAAACATATCAGTGCACTTTAAAACACTTGACCAAGAATGTTGGGTAGGCATTTTCCCATGAAATTTGATGTAATTGTGTCCTTCTTTGACTTTTTAAATTTATTTTATTTATGTAAAGGGAACAAACCTTATGTTTTTTCATATACAGTTTTATTTCTGTTAGGAAATCAGCAAACAACCTTTGAGAGTATTTGCTTCTTTGTTGCATTTATCCTCAATCTGTTTTTATCAGTTGGCTGTGATTTGCCTACATGCGGTTTTCAGGTTTTCTATAATTGGTAATTTGATATTTTACTTAATTTATTTATTGTCTAAACATAGCTTCTGCCTTATTTTCTATTTCACTTCTAATCAAACATCATATATATGTGTATGAAAACTTCTCATTCCATTCTGTCTGCATTTTAATCTCCATTTTGTATTTTTTGTTCTTCTGTCCCTTTGTTTCAGTCTAATTATTTCTTCTGACACATATTTGAGATAATTTATTTTCTCTTGAATTTTGACCGAAATGTATTTGTAAATGCACACTCTTCATACCGCTGACTAATCTTCCAGTTTCAGATTTCACATTTGACTCTTTTTCTATTGTAATTTTCACTTTCCTATTCAATTTTTCTTTCCCTCTATCTCTTTGAACACACTATATAGTATTTCAAAATCCATGCCTGTTTTATTTTCCATAACCTTGTGTCTTTCATCTACCTTGTATTTCTCTTGTCTTTATTTTTAAGGTTGATCTATTTATTTGAAAGTGAGAGCTACAGAGACGGAAAGACAGAGAGAGATGGATCTTCTATCCACTTGTTTACTCCCCACATGACCACAATGGCCAGGACTGAGCCAGGTGGCAACCAAGGGCCAAAAGGTTCTTCCAGGTCTCCCACCTGAGTGGCAGGGGTCAAAGCACCGGGGCCATCTTCCATTGCTCTTCCCAGGCCGTTAACGGGAAGCTGGATAGGATGTAGAACAACCTGGACATGAATTGGCAGCCATGTTATATGCCAACATGGTAGGTGATGGCTGTGTAAAATGCACTACAAGGCCTGTCCCTTCTCTTATCTTTTCACCTGTTTTCTCATTTCTCATTCAAAATCAAATACTACATATAAATGTTTATAAAACTAAATTTAAGTTCAAGGTAATATTACTTTCCTTAAGGGAGGATTTCTAGGCAATATCAGGAAATAATTATAAAGCCCAAATCATTTGTAATGGGCTAACTTGTTGCATCTCAAATTCATTTGTTGAGTTCTCTCGCTCAATATCTCAGAATATGTCTGTGTTTAAATATATAGAACCTTAAAGAAGTTTCTAATGTAAAACAAAATTATATGGTCACCAACAAGACCCAAAACTCCACAAAAAGAGACTACTAGGACACAGCCACATACCTTCAGAGAGGTTAAATTAAAGGTAGATGGCCATGTTTCTGACAATAAGGGAAACCTCAATATACAAACCCTGCCTATGTCTTGCTCATAAATCTACAGCCTTGCAAACCACAAAATAATAATCATAATAATACATTTCTGCAGTTTATATAACCCAGACTATTGGATTTTACTGTGGCAATCTGAATAAAGCAATGTATCAGCTCAATCAAAGATCAAGAATATGGGCCTGTATTGTAGCGCAGAAAGTTAAGCTGGCAATGTTGCACAACTGTTTTACTCCCAGTCCAATTCCCTGCCAGTGTACCTGAACCAGTGTGTGCAAGAATGCAGCACGAAATAATTCAAATCCTTGGGCTCCTGCACCTTATGGAGACCTGATGGTGCTCCACACAGCTGGCTTCAGTGTTGCTGCTGCACTTCTGGATATTGCAGCCATTTGGGAAGCGAATCAACAGATATAAGATCTCTCTCTCTCTCTCTCTCTCTCTTTCCCTCTAATCAATACACAAACCATTGAGGAAAAAATAAGAATTGAGTTCATTTATAGCCAAGCTTTAATTTCTGAGATTCGAGGTGCAGCTCACATTTCTCTGGGAGTATTTTTTAGTGGGGACACAGCCTTAGTATGCAAATCACTTGAGTCTCTTTCCCTGTGGATTTGCATAATGAATATTTTGTTGATAAAGAAACATTAACTCAAGGAAGATAAAAAATTCTTTGCAGTCACAGGACTGTTAAAAAATGAGAAGGATAGAGGAAAATCTATGGTAGACAAGCCATTCCTTGAGTTGGTAGTCTATCTTTTAGCTCAAGTTTCTGATATTTCGGGAGATAAGTCCTGCTCACCATGGGGACTTGGTACCAGCTCCATCTCTACATGTCATCCACAGTTCTCACCCACAGGGATGACAGCTTGTCAGTGACACATTGCCTCTTCCTTCCATATCACCCTTAGATAGAGGACATTTGTGGCAGGCCTTTAAGGTCATTGAACAATGACAATAAGTTTCTATCAAGGCACCTAGAACCTATGCTGCTTATTTCAGAATCTGGAGAAAATGTACAACTCAAATAGATTATGTTTTCTTGGGACAAAATCATATTTGGGAATTACTTATAAAATCACTTTGACTTCATAAGTGACTCCAAGAGAAAGGCTATATAGCTAAAGAGTGACACGTGCTGAGTCTGTGGTCCCTGGGGAAGTCAATTTCTTTTTCTGGGTTTCTTTCTCTTCCTCTTAAAAGTGAGGCATATTTTCATGAACTTGTTGGAAAGCCACACCATGTAACTCCTGGGTTTTGACCATCGTCTCACGATTATCTTGAAATTCCATTGCCTTCTTGCAGACGCATCCTGTACTTTTATGGTGTTCAGGGTTTAGTAAAGCCTGGTTTTCTATGGATTACATGAAGTATTTGGAGCACATTCTGAAGTAGACTACTAATTGGGCTGCTCTAAACTCATTTTCTGAAAGCATTTTAACCAAGTGGATTCATTGTCAGTAAAAAAAAAAAAAAAAAAAAAAACCAATGAATTGATATCCACTTCTGGCATACGGGTTTTTTGGATTTAACATGGAAAACTCTAAAGAGAATGAGAGAAAGGAACTCCTCAGCTGTGAATCCTGTGAGTCAGTGTCATTACCATTGTTTCCAGGTGAGAACACTGAGGCTCCCGGGTCCAGTGACTTTCTCCTGATCGTGAAACACCCTTGGAAAAGCAGCACGCATTGTGTCAACGGCCGTGGCAGAGGGTGCTTTGCTCTGAGTAGTAGGAAGCCAGAGTCTTGCTCAGCTGTCCATTGCACCACTGCTGGTCGTCCTGGATTAGAACCAGGGTCACTGAGAATCTCTGCTTTGATGGACCCCACTGAAAAGCCACATGGACTCCATGTGTCCTCCAATCTGAGGCCTAAACTGGAGCTAGCCACGTGACCTGCCCCTCTACTCCTTCCCATGGATCAGATAACGCTGTCTCTGAGCTCACCAACTTAGCATCCCCATAGGATATCCTCCCCCCTTCGTTTTTGCTTCATCCTTCTCCTCTAGGGACCTTTCAGCAGAGCCCCCCAAAGAATAAGTGACTACATTGTTGAAAACACACCAAGGTGGCCTGCAGGGAAGCTCACACCCTTGAGTGCAGGCAGAATTTGTGACACGTGGCATCACTCCTGTGACTGCATCCGGTGACATACCTCTTTGCAGACTAGACAGAGAGAGCCTCCTACTGGCCTTGAAGAGGCAAGCAGCCATGCTAGGAACTGCCCTTGGGAGACAGCCAAAAGGCAGGGAACTTGAGGGCAGTCCCTAAGCAGCAGCCAGTCACAAGCTGATGGTAGCAGCCACCTCGCTAAAAGGAAACAAAGTCAGCCCAAAATCTAAAGGAAAGTGGAAGCAGAACCCATTGCAGTTGCGTGTCCAGCTGAGGCTGCAGTCTAGCTGATGCCTGAAGGGAAACCCAAAGGGAGGACCCAGATAAGCCATCCCTGAGCTCCTGATGCACTGAGTGAGACAATTAATGGGTTTTGTTATACCATTAAGTTTTTGTGTAAGGGGTTACTCAGCAACAGAAAGCTAACAGAGCAACCGGATCTATCTGATGGCAGCGGCCATCCAGAGACCTACAAGAATGAACAATCGTCTGCCCT